TTTCCTGCAATAGTTTCAATGTTAGTAAGTCTGAATAAATTTTTGGTGTGAAGTAATAGGTGTTCAATTAGCTTTAAATTGCTTAAATAAAAAGCCTACTCAAATTTGTCATATTGGTGACTGAAATGTATTTTCAGATTACTGCAGAAAGTAGTATTCAGGCTGGGTAAGAGAACTTAAAATGCTTGTGATCACAATTTATTATCAAGATTGGTTTAAGTCCTTCAACACGGATGTTATTAATTTGAGTATGTTGAATGCTACAGACATCATTCTAGCATGAACCACTTATTTTATTGTACATTTAAATCAGATTCATTGTCAATTGCTTTTACAAAGGCAATGGCATATAAAAAAGACAGTTGTTCTGAATTCAACTATGGTAACAATGCGCATTTGTTAAAATAAATTCCAGTTTCTTATGTGTAGCTCATGATTGAAATATTTCATTTTATACCAATTACAAATTATGAACTACTGATGAAGCTAAATTTATGTAAAAAATCACTTTTTTTCAAAGTACTAAAATGGTGACTAAAGAATATGGGTGGAATTTGTGAAATAATGAAGGTGGATGGTACAGTAGTAGAGCAGCTGCATTGAACATTTACAGTTTTACAGTATTTTTCATTCAAGTCTCTTATGACCGTTCAGAATGAATCTACATGTAATTGTAGCACAAATATTTGTCCATTATTTTCAAGTCTGTGAGGCTATTTTCATTTTCTTGATTGCTCTAGTTCTCTAATTTGCCACTATTTTCAGAATTGGTAAGCTTAAAATGTGAATCTCTTGAGATCCAAGTGTGATTTGTTACAGTGAAAATTTTCAAAAAAGAAAAATAGTACGGAATGCAGGAGAACTTCACATATGGTATAAATGTAGTCCTTCAATCCCAAAGGCTGCTTCAGAAGTAGTTAATGATGCTCTGTGCTGGAAGAGTTGTAGAAAGTTTGAAACGGGGCAGATAATATTGTCCTCGTTCTTTCTCCATTAAACTATTCTGAAATTCTGCTGCCACTGAGAATACTCTTTCTCCTTTGGAAGCTTGCTTTTCTGAAAACTAATATGTATTCTGTAATGTAGACCTGTATAAAAACGCAACCTACTGAGCCACAGTGTAGTACTATTGTTTTTACCGTTTTTTTCTTTTTTTTTTTTTTATTTTTTTAATTTTTTTTCCCAAAAAGATTTTTTTCCCCAAATTATTTTTTTTCCCAAAAAGATAGCTTAAGGAATGACTGTACTGTCAGGCCACATATCCATCTAAATCAGTATTTTATCTGGCCAGTAGCAGAGGTTGTTTTCTGTCTGTCCTTCTGTCTGTCTGTCTTTTTCTTTCATAAGATGATGCTGTCTGAATAATTGAGACCTTTGGGTCCATCTGGTCCAATCTCTGCTCAAGCAGAGACACTCAGAGCAGGTTACCAAGGACCACACCCCGGCAGTTCTTAGAGATTTCAGAGGAGACTTTGCAGCCTCTCTGGGCAATCTGTGCCAGTGCTGTCATCCACACAGATCTCTGAAGATCAAGGGGAAGTTCTGGTGTTCCAATTGTGCTCACTGCCTTATGTCCTCATGCTAGACACTGCTGAGGAGTGCCTGGCTCCATCCTCTTTGTTGTTTTTGTTGTTTTAACACTGTATTAAGTATAAATGCAATGCACACTTATTTTACCTTGAATTTAATATTTTGTCTTGCATTGATTTTTAAGTTGATTTACAAGAGACAAGAACGCACTATCACATCATTCTGCATTAAATGCAGGTACTTAGATTGGCTTAGCAGAGGGATCTGGAATACTAGCTTGTAGTTCTTTTATTGGAAGATTACTTCTACCATGAGATAAATAGGAAGCAATCCTACTTTGTCATTATCTAATGTATCTAGCAGTGTTGTTTGGTGAATTAAGTGAGAAGTAATCATCGCTTAGATCTCTACTATGATTAAATATAAAGAAAACAACAACAACAACAAAACATGCAATTTTTTCTTCTTCCAGCTAAATTCCTCTACTACTGTATTAGTCATATCCTTGATCTGAGAACATGGGATTTTAATATCTAGTATTAGGAAAAACTTTAATCACATGTTTATTTACTATTTGTGATCTCAGAGATGTCATTACTTCATATAGCTAAGCAGCAGTGAATGTAATCTAAGGATTAAGAAAAAGTAAATCTTCCTGTCCATTTGACCTTGGAAATCTGATTGCATTTGCTATGTGATTGGGCATGATTTTTCCCTAATTATCTAGAGCTTCATGTATGTGGATGATAAATAACAAGTGACTTGTGCAAATCTGATTCGATGCTTAATTCTAATACTTACTTTTATTTCATGTTCATCTTCGTTTTGAGTGTAATGAAATCAGAGGAAAAACAAATCTGTGATAAAAATTTTTTGCTCTTAGATAATTTTGTTGGTAGATCAGTAAACATTCAAGAAGTCTTACGCTGTTTTTGATTAATTTTTAAATAATATGAGTCAATTCTTGTTTTATAATGCTATGTCAGTGCACTTTATGGCTGCTCAGAAGAAAAAGAATTCAGTTGAATTTAAGTAAAATAGGGGAAAATGCAGTCCATTTTCCTAACTATTGTTTGTCAATCTCATGAGTTTCAGTAGCTTCTTCAATGAAATGGAAGTTTTTTAAGCCATGGGAATTAAAGTAAATATGGAAATGGCTGTTCTTAGCATGGTCAGTAAAAGTACAAAGCTTATTAAAGGTGCAAAGGCAGCTCTTCAGTCAAATGAATGAATTTTTTTTTCAAAACTTATTGGGTGCTCCGTGTTGAGTGATTATCAGTGCAAGAAGATGATGCTGTTCGTATGACCTTTTGAATCTCACTGTCTTAAGCAAATCAAAATAATGAATGAATACTGCATTGAGGTTGCCATCAAGAAGTTCTTCTAATACCAAACTCCAATGGTAACATGAGCTAAGATTTAGGAAATGCAAGTAACGTTGCACTGAGCTTCGAAGGAATTTATGCAGTTGGTCACCAGAGGAATGTTACTGAGACATTTTTAGGACCTGACTTGTACCACTTTAAACTTTTGTATGTCTGAGAGACCTTCCTGAAACATTCAGTTGTGTCACACTTATTAGCATTTTCCATGAATATCCTTTAACGAGGATTAATTTGCGAATTCACAGTTCTAATTTGGAATTTTTTAGATCTATAAATGCAGCTTCTATGAAAATTTTTCTGGGGGCAGGGTAGGATTGCACATGTACCATACTGTAGTGTTGTGTTCTCAGCAGGAGAAAACAAATTTTTAGCTGTATCTACCCATTGATAAAAACACAGTGAACATCTGAATTTGAATCTTAAAGGCACTTCTCTGTGAGCTTAAATTACTGTAGAAAGATAACTTGAATTTATCATTAATTACTGCTAGTGAAAACGCCTGAAGATTCTGTATCTACCTAACTACTGGGAGTCTTATGTGCACTGATCTGTTTCAAAATGAAATTAATGCACTGTCTTGTAGTGTTTGGATCTTGAATGCAGTCCGATTATGTTATTCTGCTTTCCTAAACAACTTATAGTCCTCCCATTAAACTTCAGTATGATTGTATTTGCTTCAGTCATAGGAATATAACTCTTTTTATTATAATTTTACTATGTGGTAAATATTGGTGTAAAATCTTGCTAAAGGTCTTCATCCTTCTGGTTGCATAGTTCTGAGTTTTGAGGATTCATACTTAGTGTATACAAACTGTAGTGCTAAAAATCAATGTCATAGTTTGCTTTGCACTCTCAAAACATAAAACTTTGGATATCTGATCTTGTTATCTAAAAAAATGAGAGCCTTCTTGTTGTTATACGAGGAAGCAGAGGTGTTGGAAGAAGTTCATTTATATTTCAGAGTACTGCAGTAGTACTGCACTTCAGGTATGCATGGATTCAGAAATTCAGAATTCTTAACACATCATTCACCTGGCTTTCTGTGAGCTGGAACATCATGCTCTGCAAAATTTCAGCCTTGATTTCATCTGGGAGTGAATTTCAATTTAACTTTACATCTATCTTATTGCTCATAATTCTCCAGTCCATAAAGTGGCATCTGCAAAACCCATGTAAATTCCATTGTTGCTAAGATTCAGTGGTTGAAATATTTCTCTGTTGTCACCATTTTGCAGGGCAGTGCACTGAAATTCAGAGTTTTTCATTAGTGTGCTGCAGTATAAAGGGCACTGGAAGAAGGTTGCTTTACAGAATATTGATCCTCCCAAACGTTTACACTGTTAGAATTCGTGTGATTAAATTTTCTAGGGTTTTGCCAAGTAGATTTGAAAGTACAGTTAGGGAGGCCTGTTCTTTCAGAAACATTCAGGGTGGGTGAAGGAACTAGAGAACAAACTAAGGAGGAGCAGCTGTGAGGGAAATGGAGTTGTTCAGTCTGCAGAAGAGGAGGCCTGAGTTTCTTCTCATCTCATTACTTTTAAATCTCGTTCCTAATTGTCATCTTGGGTTGTGTCTAGAGATCTCAGATGAGTGTTATTCCAGTGTGCTTTAGTTGCAGTTCTGAAAGTTTGAGAACTTGAATGCATACTTTTGCAGTAGACAACCACCATTACAACTGAATTCTTTATAGAGCTTTATATACAGATGTATATGTAATAACATATAATACTTAAACTACGTGATAAATTTTTGAAATAAAAAAGTGTCTAAGACAAAATAGTTTTTTCCTTGCTTGAGCCATATGATACATAAGCGTATCCTAACTTTTAAGGTAAAAAATATATATTTAAAATACTTGCACTGATAATTTAAGATAATGATCTGAATTTAAGTATTAAAAATGCTGTAAATGAAAACATGGTTTACTCCATTTTTTTTACACAACGGGAATTATATATAATAGTGTCATGCTCTACAGTATTATTTCTGAAGTTATTATTTTTAATTTATATTGCCTTTGAAGATTTTTAGCTTTCAAATAGCAGTATTAAGCTAAGAAAATAACAAACATTTTTCTTTTAACAGAAATTGAAAAATACCAGAAAGGAGAAGGAAAGGAGGAAGAAAAATATATTGATGTGGTCATCAATAAAAATATGAAGTTGGGGCAAAAAGTTTTGATTCCAGTAAAGCAATTTCCTAAGGTAAGTGTAGTTTTCATACTATGTAACTAAATGCTCATAAAAAGATAGTAATGGTATATCTTAAGGAGATGACTTCTACGTTTATGATAGTATTACCCATCTGTAGTAATGCTGTCCTCTAGTCTGTTGTATGGGAATTCTAAGGTAGAAATGTTTCTTGAAATAAATGTGCAGAAGAATGTTGCTCAGCACACAAAAAACATATTGAAAACAAATTATAAATCATATCGTCAGAATAGTAGAATCTTTTTTGGGTAGAAGAAATAATTACATTTAAATTAATGCTGATTTAGTGGTTACCAATCCTATCCATACCAGGAAGATTGGAACTAGATGATCTTTAGATCCTTTCCAACCCAAACCATTCTATCACATGATTCTGCAATTTCTTACTTCTTTGAGATAGCCTTCACTGGAAATTTCAAGGCTGCTTCTGTTTCTGCGTATATCTTCATTCCTTTTCTCTGTTTTGCCTGGAAGACTTTCTAAATAGTTTTCTTTGGACTATCAGTGTTTTCTCTTAGACTACGCCAAGTAATTTGCACGAGTTTCAACTTTGAACAAACTTCAGTGAAATACTGTTTCAGTGAATTTGTATGCTTGCATACCTTTTATGCTTGGGCACCTTTTCGGAATTCTGACATGGAATTCCATGTTTATCTAATGATCAGGAAGAACTATCCTATAAATACCACATTAGGAATTGCAAAAAAATGGAAGGTAACAAATAGAGGAATCTACACGGATGGTATTTCTAATCAAGATGTTTTTCTTTATTTAAATGGTGAGATGTGTAGGCAGTCAAGATTGAAAGGAGAGAAAGCAAAGTGACAGGAAGAGGAGAAAAAGTGCCTTTTGAAAGATTCTCTTTCTTTAGTATAAAGACCCATAAAGATCTAAATACCGAAATTCTTCTTTACAATAGCTATTGGGAAAGCCCACGCTGTCTTTTGAAACGACAGAGATGCTCTGCTGTATGCTGGTAGTAGTTGTGGTCCATGGACTTCTTTTTGACTGTCTGAGCTGGGAGTCAAGCCTTGTCCACGCTATGGAAAGGAACCTGCATTTATACCCAAAAGATAGGGCTTTATAATCCTGTATGTTTAGAGGAGCAGGATCCAAGGGACAGTAACAGCTGCTGTGCAGAACAAACTTCCCATGTGAGTTCATATGTCTCTGCTTTTACTTTTTCTGTAGAATATTCTGGAGAATACTGGTAACTCCTCTCAAACAAATCTCTTCTACCAAAGGGAATAAAGCTATGAGTATTTTCTGGATGAAGAGTGTTTTTGCTCCCTAATGGAAAGGAAGATGCTCAATATTTCTTTCAGAAAGTTCAGTTTTGTTAAATATAAGTGGATAATTGTGTAAAAGCTTGCTCGTTACAGATTAAATATTGTTGAAAGGAATTAAATCTCTCATTGTGTGGGAGTAGCCTGGGAGGTGGGCATGAATTCAGGCTTGTCGTAAGCACTCTTGGTCTTCTCTGAAAGAGACCCAAAATACAAGCAGTCACTGTAATTGTGTACCACCATGTTTACTAGAATTGGGCTTGCTGCTTTATTTCAGAACTGTAATAAATTTAAATACTTTTGTACAAGGTAGCATAGCTTCAACATGACAAACTGAGAGCCTTATTCTGATGTACTGTAGTCTGCAGAGCTTAGAATGCCTTGAACATGAGGGAAGAAGGAGCAAACATTGCAACGCAGAAGGTCTAAATACTAATTCTATTCCTGTTAGATATGTTCAGAGTAGGGTTGAATTAGCAATGCTTTATCAGGTCTGTCAGGGGAGATATGAAGGGATTCCAGACACTTTAACGAGCTGTTCTTTGAATGCATTTATTATATATTCAGATGGTGCAGAATTTAAGCAGAAGACATAATGTGGTTCTTAAAAAGCCTGAAATGATGCTTTATGCCTCTAGGCCATGCTTTTCGGTGCTTGTATGTGGTTTGCCAGACCATTTTGCCTGCAAGAGGTGTTAGAGTTAATGCGAATATGTCATTTGAAGAGGGTGCCAAATTGATAGTACCTCACAAAAATGGTTGAAGGTTGATTCTGATTTTTGTGAGTAATTTTATCCTTTTTGCTGATCAGTATTAGTTACAAATGCTTCAGAAACATGGAATGTAAGGCAGATAAATATGGATGACAGCTGTGTAAAAAGCTCTTCTATATGTAAATATTAAATCTAGAGCTGTTCTCATCACAATTTTCTTCTCTCTCTCAGCCAACAGTCCATGCTAAAGCTGTCAGTTAGTATACAAATCCTGGACAAGGATGCTTCTAGTATTTCGGATGTAGTCTCTTTGTTAATGAAGTGAGAATCTGGTGTTTAGAGCTGACAAAGGCACTATGATAATTGATAAATCCATCAAGCATCAGGAGTACCAATTTGACTCTGACAAACTAAGGTATCCAAACAGTGACAAAAAAGAAGCTTATTTCTGAAATGGTGCAGCTTTTTCAGCTTACATGAGAACAGAAAAGTTGATTATTGGAGTTATTAAACCGTTGAGATGGTATAGTATCTAAAAATGTTACGAACTACAAATGATTTTGCTAAAAATGAAAAACCATTCTGCTAATGTTTGCCAGTGACTCTCTGGTAAGTCGTGATGTCTCTTCTATTTAGATAAATAGATGGGATCAATGAAATACCAGTTAGTTTTTGAGATCTCTGCACCAAATCAGCCCACCCATGTGCTACTCACCATTCAGACACCTTACTAAAGCTGACACAGAGTTAACTTTTAAGTATCTCATTGTGCTTTCCCTCTTTAAAACCTCTCCAACTCTGACTCCTTGAATAAATCATAATAGCCTCAACGTAGGTCAGACAGTTCTAGCTCTGATCTGATCAACGCATCATTGTAATGACTGCTCACATTACCTGTCCTGTCAGATGTATTCTTGCAGGATCATGGCTGGGTCCTGTGCATACTCAGCCTCATTACCTCTGTCAAACCTTAAGGTGACAGGTTTACTGCAGAAGAAAGCTATTCAACTGAAGTTCAGAGCTGCTGGTTATATCTCAGAAGGAAATCTGTTATATCTCAGGTTGAAAAGTAGTTTTCCTTTGTTTGGTTATTGTTGGTCTCCCGAAAAAAAATCTCCTTGTTTTCTTGATCTTCTGCTTCGTAGTTCAACAGTTGAGTATTGATGTGGATGTGTTAAGTTTGCGTAACTGAAATCTCTCATATGAAAGAGAGTTCACAGAATCACAGAGTTGTAGGGGTTGGAAGGGACCTCTGGAGATCATTGAGTCCAACCTCTCCCTAAAGCAGATTCCCTACAGCAGGGTGCACAGGAAGGTGCTCAGATGGATCTTGAATACCTCTAGAGAAGAAGCCCAAGGAGCCCTCCCCCCTCCACTGAGCAGCCTGTTCCTAATTGGTTTTTTTTTTCCTGTCTTCCATAATTGCCACTACTACAATAGCATTTAGTCTCACTCTAGAAATACCTGTGCACTTGACAAAGAGAATGTTTCAGTTATTGCTAAATTATTTTCCTGTACAGAAGAAGATGCCTGTGATCAAGTAGACAATATATGGTAACAACGTCATATACTATTCATTTTACTCCTCTTCCTGCAGTTGAATTCAAGAAGAACTGAGGGGCAAAATTCATGTCACGTATGGTTTTACTGGGCCATTTTGGTGGTAGGTGCACAGTTGGACTAGATGATGTTGGTGGTCTTTTCCAGCCTTGATGACTCTGTAGTTCAATGACTTCTGTCTGAATCTTCACAGAAAGTGACAGAATAACCAGAACAGCCTGAATTTTGTCATTTCTATGAAATAATTTATGATACTTGAAGGAATTACATTCTGGTTTCATCTCAAGGTTGGTTGTGCATTTGAATTATCTTTATTTGAGTTCCTTGGAAACACTTGTGCTGTTAAAAAATGCAGCGATTATATTTTAGTATGATGACAGCATTATTTGGTGAGAAAGAACTGTGTGGGAACTCCACTGTAGGCTGCAGGTCCCAGCAAGTCTTTTCAAATTCTGATTGTACAGAGTCTTGTTGGGAGTAATTCAGGTTGGCCTAGCTTGATTGATTCCTCTGAAAATTTTGTATTGCTGAAATGCAGGAATTACTGTAAAATATTCAGGTGACGCTTTCGTGTGTTCTCATAATGCTGTCTGCAGGCCTATTCTGAGACATATATGATGAACAAGGGTAAGTGGGAAACTTAGGATTTTATGTTGCCTCAGTGGAAAATTTTTTGAGGTAGGATTCCATTCCAGATTGTTACCTATGTTATGGAGTCCACATGAATGCTGGATGCCTAACTTGCTATTAGCTTAATGAGGTTTTACCGGTTAGGAATTGGAGTTTAGGGTGAGTTAATATACTTTGCTATTTCATCAGCTGAATATCTTTATTGATTCCAGGTCAAGCGTGAAAGTGCAACCCTATAACTTCTGCTGGATATCATGCTTGAAAAATGAATCTTTAAACTTGCATAGACATAGTGATAGCAATGAAGTGTGCTGGCAATGAAAGATCAGGATGTGGCAGTATGAGAGTGAAGGGGTTCTAAATCTTTCCTACTGCTTCTATGAAATGCCTGAACTTCTGAAAATTTTCATAGCTTACGTATGTACAGATGCAGCAGGAGGGTATTATCCTTCCCACCACATGCATCTGATAAATATGCATTGTGAAATAGTCTGTAATCTCAGACATCTGATTTTGTTCTGCCAGCTTAGTAAACTGAAGTGTTCAGACTTCAGAGAAATAGCTTTAATGGATGATAAATAGAATGATGATGATTTTTCATGGAATCAATCAGAACTGCAGGAATAATCACTTCCACCTTTTGACAAGCTACCATTTTGAAAACTGCTTACAGAACTATATTTTAATACTGAGTAGATTTTGAAAGTTCATGAGAAATGATTTGCACTATTTCCCTGAAGTGGTACTCTATATTCTCAAAAGTTACTTTCTTGAAGTGTTTTAACTCAACATTTAAAATTAGAAT